CAATGATGAGTAACACGTTTCACTATTAGATTTTAGTATTTTTTAGCAATTTTCTTTAAAAGTTGGAATACGCTGTTCTCGATTATTACTGGACACAGAAAGGCGAAAAAAAAAAAATCAACGATTACAGGAAAACAAAAACTCTTTCAAGGGATGGGCATGAAAAGTTTGGTTATAATAGAACGGTAAACAGTATAATCCAATTTTTCAACAGAAGTTTCAAAAAAATAAAAAAAACTAAAACTATCATTTTAAAGGTAACTTAATTTCGAATAACGTGTCCAAATTTCGAGACATTTTGTCGGTAAATAACAGAGAAAACACTGTCCCTAGGTGGTGCACCGATAAAACAGCCTTAATGAACCGTGATGACTTCTTCGATTTTAAAGTTGCTTCTGAAAGTTTAATCAGTACATCCAAGCTTCAAATTTCAAAAGCTCAATCGATCAACATTAACCGACAAAATCTGGGATTAGTTAAAGTACGAGAAACTCTAAATGAAGTGGAAACTTGGAAATCAATCTAGGTTTTAAAGAGAAATGTTACAATTAAACACTATTGCAAAAATTACTCTTCCTAACTTGATCTGCCAGAGTAGAATTTCTGAAGAAAAAAAAAAACAAAACTTGTTGGCAATGGTTCCCTATTTGAAGAAAGAAAATAGAAAATTTTATGAAGACCTATTTAATCCCAATACTCTTTAGAACCGACATGTTTTGTAATAATTGATGGATTCGACATACATGTTTTGTGTTTTTCATTATTACTTACCCCGATATTTTATATTTTTGTGATGGCTTCTTCTTTTTTGAGTGCCTCTCCTATCGAAGATTGGATATCATTATGGCGATTCTAATTTTATTAACTGCTGTTTTGAATAATTCGTTAGTGGTACCAAACCACTCTCTTAAATTTCTCATTCAGGACATTCTTCTACGGCCTGGATTTCTGCGTCCTTGGATCTTTCCTTGCATTATATTTTGTAGGAACGTGTACTTTTGTCCTCTCATCAGGTGGCCTAAGTATTCAAGTTTTCTCTTTTTTATATTCATAATAACTTCTGAATCGTTATTTATTCTGCGTATTACCTCTTCATTTGTAATTCTATCCACCCAACTTATTCTTAGTATACGGCGGCGGTAGCAACACATCTCAAAGCTTTCAAGATTTTTAATATTCCTCTGTTTAAGAGTCCATGCCTCAACACCGTAAAGCAAAGTACTGAATACATAGCATTTTAACATTCTAGTTCGTAGATGAATAGTAATATCACGATTACAAAATAATCTTTTGATTTTTATAAAGGTAGACCTGGCAATTTCAATACGTCTTTTTATCTCGTGATTTTGGTCACTTGTTTCATTAATGAGGGTTCCATAGTGTTTGTATTCGCTTACTTTTTCATGTTGGGTATCGTTTATTGTGATACTGGTGTCATGAATTGGATTCTTACTGAAGGTCATATATTTGGTTTTTTTGACGTTCATCCTTATACCGTAGTTATTACATATCTCACTTATACTTTCAACTAGATGTTGTAGATCTTCTACTGTTCTTGGCATCATCACAGTATCGTCAGCATGTCAAATGTTATTGATAACTTCTCCATCGACTATTATCCCTTCGTTTGCATGTGAGAGAGCTTCTTGGCATATTTGTTCGCTGTAGATATTAAACAAAAGCGGTGACAATATACAACCCTGTCGTACTCCTCTACGTATTTCTATTTCGTTCAATGTTTGGTCTTCTACCTTTATATTAGCTCGCTGATTCCAGTACAGATTTAATATTATTTGCATGTCGCTGGTGTCGATGTTCTTACCTTCCAGGATTTCTTTGAGTTGATTGTGGCGTACTTTGTCAAAGTCCTTTTCAATGTCTATAAAGCAGGCATGCACCTCTTTGTTAACATCTAGACATCTCTGTGTTAGGACATTTAAGGTAAAGAGAGCTTCTCTTGTACCTAATCCTTTTCTGAATCCCATCTGTGTATCGTTAATATCGATATCTAACTTTTGATAGATTCGGTTGTGGATGACTCTAAGAAATATTTTAAGCAGGTGACTCATCAAGGAGATTGTTCGATGATCTGAACATTGCATTGCCTTAGTTTTCTTCGGTATGGTGACAAACGTAGACAGCAACCATTCTTGAGGTATTATACTAGTACTGTATATTGTATTGAATAGATGTAATATTATGGTTACGGATTTATCATTCAGAAGTTTCAACAGTTCTGTAGGAATTTCATCAGGTCCATTTGCTTTTCCATCTTTAGCGTTTCTTATTGCGTATTCTACTTCTTCTTTCAATATGTCTGGCACAGTTGCATTGATTATCTGAGTTAAGTTGTTTCTATCGTCTTCAAATAATTCATTCAGGTATTCTGTCCATCTTTTTATTTTATTCTCTAGATCTACAATAAGATTTCCATCTTTGGCATTTCTTTGTGCTTCCTGTTATCTCTTTTACTTTTTTGTGTATATTGAACACATCGTACTTTTTCTCATAGGTTTCCATTTTTTCACACTGTTCTTTAATCCACTCCTCTTTGGCTTCTTTTATTCTCTTTTTTATGTGTTTATTTATTTCTTTGTATTTGTCTGGGTAATTCTTCATCTTTCTTCTTTGTTATATCAAGTCTTGTATATCTTGTGTCATCCACCCCTTATTCTTTGTTGTTGTTTTTGTAAAATGTTTCTTTGCTGCCGTTTGTATAGCTGTATTTATGTACTTTAATTTTTGGTTAACGTTATTTGTATCGTTAATTTGTTGCTGCACTGAGCGGAGGTTTTCATTTATTTCTTCTTCTGTTTCTTGTCGTATATTTTTGTTTCTAAGTTTATTTAAATCTAGTGCTTTTCTGTGTGGTCTTCTAATCTTTTTTGGTCTCGCCTCTATCACAGTAACTACCGGGTTATGATGTGAGCCTATATCAGCTCCTGGGCACGTCTTAGTACATTTATCAGCATTACGATACCTCTTTGCTATCATAATGTAGTCTATTTGATTTCTCACTATTTTTTCTTTGGTATGTTGTGGAAATGTCCATGTATATAACCGTCGAGAAGGTAATGTGAAAAAGGTATTTGTTATTACGAAGTCTTTGGCAAAATTGAAATCATCGATCTCCTCTGTCATTTCTGTTTCCAAGCCCATATTTTCCTACTTGTTCTCCTACCTTACCTTGACCGACCTGGCATTAAGATCGCCCATTATTATGTTAATGTTTGTTTTTTTATTGTTTTCAGTTTTTCTTCTAAATCGTTGTAGAATTGTTCTATTTCATTGTCATCTTTATCTGCTGTTGGTGCGACTTGAATAAGATTTATTATGTTATGTCTTTCTTTAATTTTTATTAATATTAAGTGATGGCACTTAGCACATTTTAAAATTTTATAGCTGTTTTATTTTTTGTATAATTATTTTACAAAAAGTTCGCAAAATTATTTAATGCACATCATCATCATCATCATCTTTGGCTCTACAACCCTGGGTGAGTTTTGGCTTGTTCAAGAATTAGTCTCCATTCCCCCCTATCTTTCGCCCTGGCTTTCCAATTTCTGACCCCTAGATTCCTCAAGTCATCTTCGACTTGAGTTTTAAATCTAGATCTTGGTCTGCCTCTCTTCCTGGTTCCTACTGGCTCTTGATACAATATCTGTCTTTGGGGGTCTCCAGTGTCCATTCTTTCAAGGTATTCTAGCCACCTTAGTTTATTAATTTTAATAGACCGGACGACGTTGCATTTTTTATAGCATTGATACAACTCAAAATTGTAGCGCCTGCGCCATACCCTACTTTCTTGTACTCCTCCGTATATGTGTCTAAGTATTCGTCTTTCAAAGCGGCCTAACAGTTCTTCGTCGCTTTTTATCATAGTCCATGTCTCTAACGCGTATATCAGGACAGGTTTAATAAGAATTTCATATATTAGTATCTTGGGTCTTCTGCTAATTATGTCTGATGTTAAGAAATGCTTTAGTCCAAAGTAAGCTCTGTTTGCCAGGTATATTCTTCTCTTAATTTCTACGCTTACTAGGTTGCTGTTATTTAGTTGTGTTCCAAGATATATAAACTTCGAGACCCCTTCGAATGCGTGTGCTTCTATCTTGTGGTGCCGCTATTTGTGTGCTGTTCGTGACTTCGCGGCTTTTTCTAATGTTTCAAAAGCCTATATCAGCACTCGCTTTGTCCGTGTTACTATGTTAAAATTATTTAATGCACAAAAACATAATTCACTTGAATAACCCTATGTTTAATTTTGAGAAAGTTATTTCTAATACATTCAAAGGAAAAGAAAAAAAATCGATTATTTCGAAATAATGATTTTGGCACTTACCACATTATTTATTTCAAGTCTTTACATATTTAATATCCTACCTAAACCCCCCCTGTGGCTCGGTGGTAAAAGCGCCTACCTTTAAACCGAGTGAGTTCGAATTTCATCTGGGTGGAGAAATTTTCGTTTATTAAAAATTAATAAATGAAAATAATTTCTATACTTGTGCGATCGGTACTCACCGGAGAGACCGCAGACGTTCGGATACAATTAGCATCTCTTAGCAAAGACAATGACGTCGACTTTGCTAAGTATCAAGACAATTACTCTACACACACACACACACTACACTAGGTACCTGACTGTACCAATGATCTTAGTTGTCGAGGCATTAACTCAATAATAATAATAAAATGTCCTACCTAATGCAATAAATAATTTTCATTAAGTTAGTGTCTCCTTTTTTGTTTTGATCAGTGTACAATAAAATTAATTAGTACAATATACTATAAATATAATATAATTTTTTATAACGTCTTTTTATGTCAAACTTCATAAAATTGTTTTTGATAGTCTACTTGGAATGTGATTTGAAAAGTATCTAACTCTTTTTATGTAACTGCATCCTATAAATAACTTCTCCAGTTCTCTTTATATAAAAAGGCAACTAAACTGATTATTACTTTTTGAAATTATATAAAAAATATTTTTTACTCACCTGTCAAACACAGATACTAGACATAAAACACAGAGGGCGAAAAATGTCCCAACATATATGTCACTAAAATAAGCGTAGTGTATTAAGAAACTGGCATCCTGTTGACGTAAATTACAGACCAAATAAAGACAATGTCCTAAACCTAATCCTCCGAGAAGTCCGTGACACAACGTGGAAAACCGTATCCACCATTTTTGGAAGCATATGGCTATTTCCAGCGGGTAAATTGCATACCTAAAACATAATTTACATATTAGCCGATTACCTTTTTCTTTTTTATGGGTTACTTTTGTTTAATCATTTATGTATGCTTGATCAGAATAGTAAAAGTAAATTAAAAAGTAAAAATTATAAAAAAAAAATATTTAATATCGAATTAAATGAATAAAAAAAGCAAATTTGGACAAGATAGAAAAAAAATAATGAACTACTAATTACATGAATTCAAGGAAACCAGAAGTGGATCAAACTAAAAATCATTTAAGATACGGCGATACTGAGAGAAAGAGCGAAAAATAAGAAAATTAGAATATCTCGGACATATTACACGTGGAGAGAAATACACCTTGCTCCAACTGATTATGTAGGGAAAGATCCAAGGAAAGAGAAGCGTAGGGAGGCGTAGAATGTCATGGCTGCGCAATCTGAGAGAGTGGTACGGATGTACATCAAATGAACTTTTCAGAGCAGCCGTCTCAAAAGTCCGAATAGTTATAATGATTGCCGACCTCCGCCGCGGAGATGGCACTTGAAGAAGAAGATACTGAGTGAAAAATAAAATAGAACGATAAGGATAGTACATCTAGAGAAATGTGTCTGATGTAGTTGTAATGTAGATTTTAAAAAGGAGATTTTTAATTTAACTTACAAATTACTATTTTCGTGTTATATAATAACAATAATAATAATCAAGAGAGAAGAGGACTTATAGACATAAGTGAGCAACTAGTTAAACAAGTCGCTAGCTTAAGAACCTATTTTCAAACGCAGGCTGAGGCATCTACTTTACAGCACTGCTCAAACTGAGGAAACAATCAGATCAGCCAAGAACATGTCAACAATACAGCTTTGAACTATTGGTTCACATCATGAAAGATGTTTCCCGAGACAGAGGGTTTACTACTTTCCACTTAGGATCAGGTTATTCAACTAAAAATTACCTGAAATATATTGTCAAAGACCCTCATTTCCAAAACGACAAATGTCCATATGCATGTCAAGACCAAGAAACTGTCCAACATCTCACGGGGGGCTGCCAAGCGTTTGTCGGAACTAATTACTAAGAACGCCATAACTTCGTAGGAAAGATTTTTCACCAAGAACTAGCTCAAGATCAAATTGAAATTTTTCCAAACTAACCATTTCCCCCTATTATCAATATGTCCCTGACAGAATGCTTGAAAACGACAAAACTTTACTGAGATCGCACTGTGCTCACAGACCAACAAGTGACATATAATAGACCGGATCTGATCTAGTTAATAAACTTACTATAAATAGACAGACAGCACTAATAGATGTGGCGATACCTACCAATAATAATCGCGTGCTAAATAGTACAGAGAACTGGAAATAGAAATAAGGAGACAATGGAGAATAAAAAGTAACATATAAATAATATATATATATATATATATATATATATATATATATATATATATATATATATATATATATATATATATATATATATATATATATTAATAAAGTACTCAACTAGTGAATTCAGAGGTTTATTCGGACAGTCAGGTTGACAAAATAAAAAACAGAAGTCAACTACTTCATAAGTTTATAGCAGACGTTTCGCTTTATACTTCTAAAGCTTCAACAGTTCTCTAAAATACAAAGATGACATAGAGTTTATAAAAAATACAGATCTAATAATTTATTACTTACAACTCAATATGTAGTATGAAAGATGTTATTGTATATTATGTACTTAAGTTTACTCATAAATTTAGAACTAACTTAAAAAAAATTAAACAGAAACATAAAAAAAATAATATTCGCAGAAACGAAGATTTACAAAAACTTTAAACGTACATTTGGCTTCATTTAGAGATGGTTCTCCAATGAAGACAAACAAAACACAAAACACCAATTTATTGCAATCTATGCAAAACGACGTGACGCGATACCGAAAATTTTTCAAGTGCCATATGTTCAACAAATTCCAAGGTTTGAGACAATTATGAACTTCTACGGGGGTCATTGAAAGATTAGTTGGACGGGTGGATTTGTATGACGGAAAAATTTGATATGATTTTTTTTGTAATTTATGTTTTAATGAAACTTGGAGATCTGGGATGATTATGTTATTGTTTTGAATGGAAAATAAGGCTATTTTAAATGATGAATATTGGTATTATTTATTTCGTAAGATAAGAGAGTGGTAAACCTGGCTCAAATTGTCGATGTCGATCCTTTTGTTTATTGCAGATGGGTTTTTTTAGGATCTCACACATTTCAATAAAGGAGCGTTTTTGATGGTTATTTTGTTTCGCCAGTATTTTAGTATTTGAGAAGTCAATGTGATGTTTGGTGGAAATGGCGTGTTGTGCAAGGGCACAAGAGGGTTTGGAAAGTCTAATGTTTGGACTTGAAGAATAACTTTCCAATGGTTTTAGTGTTTTTTAGGGATATTTTGACGGGTAAGTTTTTGAATAGTTTATATATATATATATATATATATATATATATATATATATATATATATATATATATATATATCACTGTTCACTTCGCTGCCACTACTAGTAGTGACAGCGAAGTGAAAAGTGACAAGTGTAGTAGTGTCTGGGGGCTCGGGAGACTGAGACCTCGGAAGCCCTGAGAAAGACATCAGAGAGGATGTCGAAAGCTCGGCCCAATGGATATCAACGCAGTTCAACCCGGAAGACTGGTGAGTTTGATATCAAGGATCACTCAAAGAGTGGTGGGTTTTTTGGTTAAAAGGTGGAGAATAAGACAAAGAAGGTGGCTACTTCACCTATTTATTCGAAGAAGTTTCGCTCTCTAATCAGAAGCATCATCAGTTCATTTAAAAAGAATAATATGAAAAAACCAAAAGTTAATACAAAAGTGTTACATCAAAAAGATATGTTGCAGTCAAAGCTATAGAGTGTAAAAAGGCGTGAGACACAACCAACGGTTCAATGTCTCTGATGAGACAGTTCAATTAATTATCTGATGCTGTATATGGATGTTGAAATTAATTTAAATTTAATAGTTTCTAGTACCAACCATCTGGATAAGATGCTAAAAACTATGGAAACATTTTAATATGCACTTTGGACTAGATAAGTGCTGTGTCCTAAATATCGTCATAGGAAAGGTTTATCTCGGAGGTTTAGATATGCCAGATGACCAAAACATCGAGGTAATGGGTGAAAATGATGTATAAAAATATCACGGAGTAAATTAAGCGAGGAAACTTGACAATAAACAAATAAAAAGCGAACTAACATAAGTTTGTCCGAAGAGTAAGACAGCTAAATCGGCCATATCTTAATAGCAAAAATCTGCTTAAGGGATTAAATACGTACGAATGTTTCGCGCTAAGCGACTCATTTATAATATAAAGTGGTCAAAAATGGATATAGAAAGTCTTAACGATAAGTAAGAACATTTCTCACAAAGAACCTATTAACGTTAATTTAATCGTTCTTAACGAAAGTTAAGAACCTATTTTTAAAAGCAGACTTAGACATCTACTTTACATCGAACAATTTGCCTAGTAGATGACACAATACCCCTCAAACTGAGGTCAGCCAAGAATACGTCGACAATGCAGCGTCGAACTATCGGTTGACATCATAAAATATGTTTCCTGAGACAGAGGGATTTCTACATACCATTGAGGATCAGGTTATTCCTACTAAAAATTACCTGAAATATATTGTCAAAGAATAACAGGTCCAAAATTACAAATGCCGATATGGATGTGAAGCCCAAGAAACCATCTAACATCTTACGACGGGCTGTCAAGCGTTTGTCGGAACTGATTACTAAGAATGACATGACTCAGTAGGAAGTATTCGTCACCAAGAACTAGCTAGCAAACCGGGACTTCTCGATTCAACCATAAAGAAACATTTCGAAAGCCCAATTTCATATAACATAAAAAATATAATATTGTAGTAACCTTATTTTTATGCTTACTGATAAATCGTAGCATTTGAATAGCTTAGACATTTTTTAAATGCAGATCTTGCTTTCTCTATCCTAGATTTTATTTTTAGAGAATGGTCTCAATTTTCATTGACGTTCGTATGAAGGTAGGTGTATGTTTTTACTCTTTCTATTGGTTGACCATTCACACTGATTCTTTTAACTTGCTGTTTCTTCTTACAGATCATCATACATTTTGTTTTCTTAATGTTTAGTGAAAATCCATATCACTGACTCACTTCTGAGATTCTATTCATTAACTCCTGGAGGACTTCATAAATGTCGCGAATACCACCGTATCATCTGCGTATCTGATGTTATTGATACATTTTCTGTTAATTTGAATTCCGGCTTTAACATCTACTACTGATTTTTGAAAGATTTCCTTAGGGTATATATGTTAAACAGCAAGGGTGATAGTATATATCCCTGTCGGACCACACGTTTGATTTTTTTGATATCATCGGATTCTCCTGCCTCTGTACGGATAGACGATGTTTGATTCCAGTAAAGATTGCTAATAATTCTTATATCACATGTGTTTATTCCAATATTTGTTAATACCTCCATCCTCTTGTCGTGTTTTACTGTATCAAATGCTTAATGGTAATCAGTGAAGCATGCATAAATATCGCAATTCACATCTCTACATCATTGAAATAGCACGTGTATGCTAAAGAGAGAATCTCTCGTACCCACTGCGTTCCGAAAACCAAACTGTGTAAGGCTGATTTTTCTTCATATAGTCTATATATCATATCCTTTGATGTATGATGTTTAGAAATAACTTTAAAATGTGGATCATTAAGCTGATGATTCGGAAATCATTGCAGAATACGGATTTTGTTTTCCTTGGGTAGAGCAATAAACGTTGACTTCACCATTTTAAATACAGTGCTTTTCAGATAAAACTATCCACCTTAAATAACTTTTGAACCTCTAATTTTTTGGAAAAACTCAAAAACACTTTAATTAATATCTGAAGGGGGAGGCATAATATCATATTTAAGGTTGCTGAAAAATGCACCCTCTCGCCTCCCGTATCAACCCTTTTTCTTTTTTTAAATTACTTCCCCCCTTTTTTATATTATATTTGGATTCTCCTTTTTGTACTGATTTTAGAAATGTATAATACATGATACTTGAAGTGATTAGTTTATGGGAAAAGTAAATACAAAAGCAAGAAAATTGAATCGAAAAAAATTATTTTTTAACAATTTTATTACACACAGTTAGAACAAACATTTCACTACTAAAAATGTTTACAATAATTGTTCAAAATGACTGCCTTTCACTTCTATACAATGGTACAATCTATTTTGAAATTCTTCTCTGACATTGCTTAACACGTCTGCATTTAATTGTCGACATTCATCCTCTATTTTTGGTTGTAAATCATCTAGATATTCTGGTTGAGTAGCATAATTTTTGTTTTTAAATACTCCCATAAGAATAAGTCTAGGGGTGTTCAATCCGGTGACCTAGGTGGCCAATCGATCATCTGTCGTCTTTTACCTATCTATGGACCGGGAAACGTTTCGTTTAAAAATTATCGCACAGGTAAAGCAAAGTGTGGAGAAGCTCCATCATGTTGAAATACAACCAAATCATCGGAAAGGTTATCATCATTTGCTACTATTGTTCTAACGATCAACCACTTGCCTATATAATTCAAGATACGATGCACCATTTAAGTTTCCAGTGATAAAGAAGGGTCCGATAATGTGATTACGTAGGATACCACACCATACGTTTAACCTTTGAGGATGCTGTGTGTGAAATTCGCGTACAATATGTGGATCACTCTCAGCCCAGTATCGGCAATTATATCTGTTCACCAAACCGTTTAATGAGAATTAGCATTCATCCGAGAAGCAAATATTATGGATTGTTAATAATGCATTTTATCATTAATTCGCAACATTCGGGACGACGATCAAAATCTTCTTCATTTAACTCTTGTACTAATTTAATTTTATATGGATAAAACTTAAATTTATGGAGGACTCGGAAGGCTGTAGAAGATGAAACACCGATTGCTCTGCTTATTGTTGACAGTGACTGTGATTGTTAAGAGTCTAAGTTAACTTACCCTAAAGCAGCTACATTGCTTTTTTATTTACAAGTTCCTGTCGGTTATGTTTTTTATTGCAAACTGACCCTCTTGATCTAATTTTTTCTGCATCAGTTCAATCACACACTTATGAGTTGCATGTCTATTGTGGTGTGTTTCATTAAAAATTCTAGCAGCAGCTCTTGCACAATTATTATTTTTGTAGTATAAACCTACAATTTCGATTCTTTCTTGCAAAGTATATACCATTTCAGCGATCAAATTGCACACGTATCAAAATAAGCTGTTACTTACAAGTTATAACAAATTGTCGCTATTAACCGATTAAAACAAATGTAAAAATGATATCAAAAACCTTTGATAAAACTTGAATAAAAAGTGAATTTTTTTGTTTCTTGGTTTTTAAAGGTACTACAAATAGTACGGTTAAATATTTAAAGAGTTTAAATTTTGCTACAACCTATTTTGTTAGAGTCAATTAAGGTGAGGGAGATACTGTCTTGTTAACAGGAAAATTGTCTATCTGATAAACTAATCACTTCAAGCCAAAGGTATTATACATTTTTGAAATCAGAACAAAAAGAAGAATCCAAATATAAAACAAAAAACGGGGAATTAATTTAAAAAAAAAATAAAGGGTTGATACAGGGGGTGAGAAGGTGCATTTCCAGCAACCTTCAGATATTAATTGACGTGTTTTTGCGTTTTCCAAAAAATTAGAGGTTCAAAAGTTATTTAAGGTGGATAGTTTTATCTGCAAAGCACTGTACTATATCTCATTGCATATATTGGTTAGTCGTTGGGTACCGTCGGTGTTAAATAGCTTTATAAGTTTAGCATATGCATTGTAAGGTCCAGGAGCTTGCCATCTTTAAGTTGTGATATTGATTTTTCTACTTAATCTGATGTAATTGGTAAGTGGTCATTAACCTATGTAGGACGGAAGTTTTTCGGACCTATCATCATCAAAGAGTTCTTGTATGTATTTGGCCCATAGGTTATATCAACCAAAAATACCTAAAATATATCGTTAAAGACTCTTAGGTCTAAAACGACAAATGACCATATGAATGCGAAGTCTAAAAAACTATCCAATATATTATTACCGGGGGCTATCAGGCATTTGCTGTAACTCAATAAAAGGAATGGAATGACTTAGTAGGAAAGACGTTTCATCAGGAGATATCTACCAAATCGGGACTTCGAACTTATATTCTCCCATATTATCAATAATATGGATATCTTGAGTTTTTAGAGAAAACTTTCAAGTCGGTAATTTATTATTTCAGGTACTTATACTCTCATAGGGTTCATTTTTTTAATTAACATCTGTCAAAAATATACCGTTTAGGATAATTTTTCAAATTTAATGTTCGCCATTTTAAAAAAGTGTAGAATCTTACAAAAATCTAGAATTGCATTAAATGTACTATATGTCATTATTGTTATTTTAGAAAAATAAATTGATTTGTTCCAGCTGAGAACGACTAAATTATTTTTATTTTTTTTTCAAACTGTTGCCATTATATATTGAGCAGACACAACTTCGTGTGAAAATCGCATAAAAATCTAGAAACATCTTACATGACACGAAAACTTTCATATATTTACGTGACATATATATTGTCATATAAGAATACTGTCAACGACGTAATATTATGATTACTACTATTAATATACTCGTATAAATAAAAAAAATCATAACGCTAACATCGAAATTAAGGAGAATTTATTATTTGAGCAAGCACTTACTTTTTGCCAAAGTTATCGTCCATATTGTCCAACGATGGTGGTCGATTTAATAATGTATTCGACCTAGACGTGACTTCGAACTTGTTTTTCTTCTGTACATATAGTTTATCTGATTTCCTAGGGCTTTTCTTCATTTTATCCGGTCTGGAATTAAATTCGGGGTTATTTTCGAATACGTCATCTTGAAGTTCTTCTAAGGCTACGGCTATATCGTTGCGAAGATCGTATTCTTCTTCTCGTTTTTTGTGCTTTCCTAAAATATAACGACAATACTTAAGTCCAACAAAAAGTCAAATGATCAAAACATTCACAAAACGTTAGTTGTGCGATTTCCAGGGAAAGCAATTATAGAGAAATAACTGCTATTCATTATTGAGTTATCGAAAATAATTTTAAATTTTGATTTAATTAAATGTTATTGGTATTACATGTATAAAATAAAAGGTTTTTAATCAAAGTAACTTTATACCTGCCCTTTTTTTCGATGCGCTCTTTTTGACGACTTAAAAAATATATTTTTTATTAAAATTTCTGAGTTCATTTCCAATTTACTTTTTTTAGAGGAGAACATATTGAGGTTTGTGAATACATGAAATAATTAAGCAAAAGGTTACAAAACTTAGCCTGATGCAGTGGAGGATCCAGCTGATCGGCCCTCCCTCCAAGTGAAAAATGACTGATAACTGCGTTGTGTAATATTTAAGGCATTAACAAATAATTCACTCCGTTCTCTTTATTATAAATCATAATATTATGTGATAGAGGCTAACCTCTTATAAGAGCAGTTACAACAATACTAAATTATTGTGTTTCCTGTATCTGAAAGTGATTATAATATGATGACATATACACAGGGGTGTAATATGAAAGGCTAAGTAAGGGATGCTATGATAAAAAAAATAACCACAGGGAAGTTAAATATAATACCAAATATAATTGACTGATAGTATAGTGTTCATGAACCAAAGAAATTGAAGAAGCAACTTCCACCTATAACTTTGTGAATTACTTAATGTGGTAATGACCAATTTTTTTAGGGTCGGAAAATCTTTAACTGGGACATTTTCCCTAGATACACTTAAAACCCTCAATCAATGATGATTATCATAAAAAGCACTATGTTTACGATTGAAAGATAATCATTAGCAAATGCGTTTTTCAGTGGCAGGCTATGAATTTGAGAGACTATAAAGAAAATCAATATAAGGTTGAATGTTCGAATAAATGAACTTTGATGGTACACAAGGCAAATATCGAACACAGTATTTAATCAAATCTTGCCCAAGTACTTTCGATCACAAGATCATCCTCAGGGGCATATTCGTCATTTGTGGCCTATCCAGCAGTAACAGAATGTCATAAATGTAAATTGGGACATAACAAATACACTAAACAAAGACAAACAAACACTTTAAAATTTAAAAATTGGAGAAGCTGCATTTTATATAGAAGCCGGAGACAGAATGACGCACGCTGGCATCGTTTCAATGTACCCCTACCATGGTCACGCACGGAGCGAATATGACTGCAAATGTATATGCCAAGAGAAATTATATAATTGTCACTTATAAAGGGAAAATTCCTAGTAATTAGCTGTCTACCATAGTTTAAAAAAGTCTAGTATAATTGGTATAATTACTAATTATACCAATTATACCAAAAAATTACCAATAAAATTATGAAGACATCCAAAAGGATTATAACAATGAGAAAAGGCAGCAAATATTTTTAATTGTGTTTCGAAACTATTTTACGATTTTTGATTATAACAATGTTGAAAACATTTTTAATCCTATCAGACCATCATCAGTGATACCTGAAAGTATTTTCACTTTAATTTAATATAAAAGGGGTACACTTTTTGCAACAAGCCACTTTCAAAACGAAAGTTTAGACATTTTAGACAATAAAAACCTTTAATTTACATTTAAAATGTTAAATAAATTTAAAATTAAAACTATATAGTGTCGAGTAGGATCTATCCAAAAGGGAACAAACTAATAGAGCTGTCATGATGTCAAAAAAAGAAGATATTATTGATAGTTATAATGTCGTTCAAACAAAAATTAAACACTAATTTGTGAATTGCCCTTAATAAATAATCTACTACTAATAAGTTTTTAATTTTGTTTAAATTAATGATATTAATATGATACGTTGCAAAAATTAAAGGAACAACAAGTAATGTAAATATAATTCATTTTAGTAGTATAGCCGTTATTCAAAAATATGTTGTATAATGTTTTTAAATTCTTTTGTATGAAAATACATTGCTAATTTTCAAAATTCTGTTCTTTATCGCAACAACCTGCTTTTTTGAGTACCGAGATCAATAATTTATAATCTTCCAGGGTCAGTTGTTTTCTGATACCAGTCCAAAATCATCCCACTCTCTGCTGTTTTTATCACCTTAGTATCTTAAAAAGAACATTTTGCTCAACTATAACAGTAAATTGTAGAAGTTTCTGAAATTTATTGAAGATGTTTAGTGTAATTTAAATACTGTTCTCGGGGATTGCATTTACCACATCATTTATATATTTGTATATGAACGGCAACTTGAACGGTATCGTGGAATTCCTATCGAATATACGGTATTCCTATTGAATATATGAACAAAAACTATTTTGGCTAGAATAGGGCTTACACATGTATTCAATGTAGCAATCCCACGACTACCGTTTAAGTTACCGTTCACATACAAATATGTGTATGATATGATAAGTGCGATCCCGGAGGATCGCACTTATCATATCTACTAGTGTATTCAAACTACACTAAATGACCCTACGTAAATGGCTTATCTAACAATATAATTAAGGTGTTGAGGGGGACTCCTAAAATCAAAAAAGCTAAATATAACAGCATATCCAATTACATCCTATTCTTGAAGCTTAAAGACCAGACACCGCTTTTACATTAGAATAATCTTATTTACCAACTTTCTTGTCCCGAATGTGATGGGCAGTATACAGGGCAAACATCGCAGTTGTTAATACAAAGAATAACGCAGCACAAAAGTGATTACAAAACAGAAAAATATTCTTGTGTAGTAGCATTCCAACACAACAAGCCACGCATTTAATTTATCAGATGTCAAGATATTGGATATAGAAAACAATTATAAAAAAGACAAAGACGACATCGTCTACATGATAAAAAGCTGGAAGAAAAATTTGGAAGCTGTGGTTTGGAAACTAATTATGATAAAATGCAATACATGGCCATTGGAAACACCGCAGAACACCTGAAGATAAAAAATAACAGCTCAATAAAACAAACAGATAAATATAAATACTTGAGGTAATTTTGGAGGTAGTTTTCTTGAGATAATTACTGGAGGTAATTTTAACAAATGTAGGATTAGATGAAACGGATATAATAAATAAAATAAAGAGAGGGACTCGATTATATGGAGCAACGATATTACAAGAAACACTAAACACCAAATCTTTAAGACAATAGTGTAAAGCTGCTCACTGTATGACTCAGAGGAATTGGTGAAAAATAAGAAATGAACGAACTTGAACTTGAACTAATGAATGCGAAGGAGGCACTAAATGACGAGATAGAAAAAACGAAAATTACTCTAGTCTAGATTATATGCGAAGGATGGATGAGACTAGAATACCGCCGAGAACTTAGAAATGGAAACCAAATAGAAGGAGGAAAAGAGGACGTCCTAGATTTCAGAGCAACGGGCATATAACATTAGCAATGGAAAAAGATACGTCATTGACCAATATTTTAAGACAAAAAGAAATGGCGATTGGGATGTGGTAAACGGTAAACAGAATATGCTGTGTAAAGTCACGGATAAGTTCTTCTTCTTAGTCGTTTACCTGATGCAGGTATCGTGATATCATGAAGCTATTGGCTAAATTTCCCAATGTTCCTTCACGTTTTTCTATCTTCTGCCATTCTAGCACATTCTGACAATGGAGCGCCAATGGTAGCAACAATATGGTCTGTGTATCGTGTAGGAGATCTACCTCTATTTCTTTTGCCTTCTACTGTTCCCTGGATGGTAAGTTTTTATCCCACGGATAAGTAAGTACATAAGTGTAAAAAGGACTCGAAATGTACCACACCAACAAAAAAAAATCAATTAATTATAAGGCAGATTCATGCGAGTTAAGCGACGTATTGTAATATTTTAAAATTCTGAGAAATTAAAAATATCTTATATCTGGTTCGATAATGAAATTCGTTGGCCCTAATGACAGATGTTCAAAGGACCGAAATCAGTGCTGTACATATACAAAATACAGCATTTCAGAAGTTACAATATTGTGAATGTTATGTTTGTACCATTGAGCAAAAAGACAGAAGAGGGAATATAAAGGTAGTGAGGGCAAAAATATTGTTAGACGGGAAGTGCTATTTTGAGATGAAATATCAAATCTCATTAAATAAGTAAAGAGAGTCACTTTGCTTGTTTAAGAAATCAAATTTAGTTGATTATGTGATTATTTGTCCCAACTGCCACATGCAAGCTTATTTATATTGAAGTTTTTTAACAATTGTGTCATATTTTAGACTATTATCGTTATTATTTAATTAAAACTTTCTCGTCTAAGACTCATTCTGAAAAATATTTTATAGCTACTTTAAATTTGGCGCTTTTGCATTCCCGGATATGTCCTCCATATTAAGAGGCCACTTTTATGAATTTTGGCCTCCTTTTCATAACGATTAGATTCACTCTTTTGTCTTTTTGCTCGATGGTTTGTACACTTCATCTAATTTACATACCGATGCACGTCATCGGCGTCATAGCCCGTGATGTCACATGACACCAACGCCAAATATTTAGGCGATAGGTGTGTTCTTTTTTAGAATCACTTTGCCGAGTACACTGGCATTACAGCCACTAGACATATTTTATTATATACGCGTAGAAATAATATTTAAGAATTTATATTAATGTTAACTTAAAGAAATACACAATAATATGTTTCCATTTAAATTGTATAAATGCATTATAAAGCGTTTTTATTAAGAACATTTGTTCGGAACACACTGTAACTCTAATCGAACGAAGGTGAAATTTTGGCAAAATTGGAAACACTTATTTGACAGTTGCGGTGTTGACACTTTTGTACTTTATTATTTTGAATTTTAAAGTGAGTACCTCTTGTTTTATATTTTTACCTATTTAATAAAATCTGTTCTTTTTAGAACAAAATTAGCGTGTTTTATTTCAAAAATGTCACGTAAGAATTTAAATAGTCGTTGTAAAGGGATGGTAATACTTTTGCAATAATTATGTCATCCATTTTATTTAAAATGGAGTCAGGATTTTTTTATACTTTGGCAACTATGTCAACTTCGATCTCTGACGTAGATAATGACGTGCATCGGTATGTAAATTAGATGAAGTATACCTATCTAATTGTTAGTTAATTTTGTAGTAAGTTCCTGATGAATTTGAAAAAATAAATAATCAACGAAATATCGAACTCCAGAAATAAATATAGTTTCAATTTGAACCACAGACCGCATTCCCGACAAATGTCAATTAGGACACATATTAGTTGTCACAACTTCATAATGTATTCATCCTATAATAATTGTTTGTCCATAAATGTTTGTTAATTAAGTAGATAATTTTGCAATGGCACGTTAGATATATACACTTAATTGTCTTGGTGCTGTATAATTTTAAAAAAAAGTTCTACACAGAATTTTTGTTCATTTTTTTCTTTTCACTACAATGAACACCTCGAAACACTTTTTTTAAAACTTTTTGCTGCAACCTCACACAAGTAAGTGGTTTATCTAATTTTGTAAATTATACAATTTCACCATTTTGTAACACTATTGACACTATTGACAAAAAAAACATTGAGTTTATTAAGGCTATATACTGGGACCAGAAAGTAGTAGTAAAGGTGAACGATATAGAAACAAATAATATACCGATTGAGAGAGGGGTCAGACAAGGATGCGTCTTGTCTCCGACGCTTTTCAACGTAGGTTATATTCAGAAAAGCCTTATGGGAAAGAAAAGAGGGAATAAGAATTGGTGGAGAAATCGTAAACACCATGAGATTTGCAGATGACACGGTAATTATGGCTTAGAGTATAGAAGAACTACAAACTTTACTAGACGCAATAAATAGTGAATGCATTCAAATGGGATTTGACATCAACACAGATAAGACCAAATTTATGATAAAGGAGTCCAATAAATAATGAACAACTAACCCTTGGTGGACAGCAAATAGAGAGAGTGATAAAATATAAATATATGGGAGCTTACATCAACATAGAATTAGATCCAGACCAAAAATCAGAGTGTGAATAGAAATGGCAAGGGCAGCGTTCTTAAAATTCAAGCAATTGTTTTGTGACAAAAATCTGAATACTGCGCTAAGACTGAGGTTTGTCGAATGTTACGTCTGGTCCCAACTACTGTACGGGGTCGAAATATGGATGTTAAAAGCGCAAATAGTTAAGAAGCCTTTGAACTTTGGATATATCGGAGAATGTTGAGAATTCCATGGACTGCCAGGGTCACCAATCAGGATGTGCTAAAAAGGATGGGTCGAGACAAAAAATTGTTGAGGACAATAAAAGTCCGCCAGACTGCATACCTTGGAGACATACTGAGGAATGATAAATATAGTCTTCTGCAGGTTATCATGCAGAGGAGAGTCGATGGCAAAAAGAGAATAGGTGGAAAGAGGAAGTTATGGCTGCGAAATATTCGAGACTGGACAAACATGATTGTAGATGAATTATTCCACGTTGCAAAAAACAGAGAAACTTTTAGAAATGTGGTCTCTAACCTCCGTTAATGGCGACGGCATAGGAAGGAGGAAGAAGTAACACTATTTATTGTAGCTTTCGTCTGAAGATGTTACGAGAAATCTTACGAAATGTAACGATATCGTTGATAAGACTATACTTTGGCTTTTAATATTTAGCTGCTAGCCCAATTAACCACCTGTTCGACGTTTATATGATTTAGACAACTGTTGTCATTATATTTTTATATATGTTATTTTATTATGTGGATGATTAAAAATTGTTAATTACTATTTATAACTGGGAATAAGCCACAATTAAAGATAAAAATACGTTTATTGACGTTTCAATTTCCAATTCGGAAATCGTTCTCAAAATACGATTTGATTTTTTGAGAACGATTTCCGAATTGGAAATTGAAACGTCAATAAACGTATTTTTATCTTTAATTGTGGCTCATTCCCAGTTATAAATAGTAATTAATTTACAATGCCACAAGAAAATAGCTTCAGAACAATATAAAAAATTGTTAATGAGAAGATTAATAAAATCTGATATTTTTAGTACCCAATAACTATTTAATAGCTTAGCAGTAGATATACATAAAATGTATCAAACATAACTTACGCTTATTGTTACTCGAATTTGCTGGCGATATATCTCTCCTCTTCTTCTTGCTCTTCTTCTTTTCTTTCGGGATCATCATTTCTCTACTATCACCCATGCCCATTTCGGAGTCTCCGTGTCTTTTCTTCTTTGATTTTGATTTTTTTAGTGAAGAAGTCATTATATCATCGGCATCTCTTCCACTATGCGCTGCTTGCATCGTATTGTACGCATTCATTTCATCTGTGTCCATTTGAGCATACTCTTTTCGTTTTCTGTAATGTTTTCGTTCCTCAGGACTGAGAAGTTCCAAGTTACCTAACAAATAGTAAATAATTGAAATAAAAGACTATAAGAAACAATATTTATATTCATAGCTGTTAAACAAATCGATAATACAACATTAGACAAGGTAGGTCTGACGTTTATCCTATTTGTACTCTAAAAAAATCATGATATCTATCAGCTTGAGCTTTATATATGTTACTCGGGACATATTCGCTCCGTGCGTGACCATGGTAGGGATACATTGAAACGATGCCAACGTGCGTACCGGCGAAATATGACAAAATTGGAATATTGGACAAAATATTTTTACGCATAAATTTTATCAAAAATGTGTGCAAATACATGTTGCGTATTTAATTGTGCTAATAATAGCAAAAACAGTGAGTGTAGTTTTTATAGGTTCCCAAAGATTACTTATAAATTAGAGAAACGAAAAAGATGAATTCGTGCTATTAATATGAAAAAGTAAATATCACATAATTTCATTTTTATGCAATTGAAATAGGAAAAATTTAAATAATTTACCTTGAATGATATTTCATAAGGCTTTAGCTAACTGCAGATGACTTTAGCTTTTGTATCATAACTTTTACTATTATTGTTTTTAATTATATGCTCTTTTGCGTGAAAAACTTGATTTGCCAGTACTAGATTTTTCATTTTCTTTTCCGTTTGGAGTTGAAAAGATATATTATGATGAATTTTGAGAAACCCAGTTTTTAATACTACATTTATTTTGTACATAAACTGAAAAAATATAGTTAAAAAATTAATTTATTAATAATTGTCAATTTCGCATGTATTTAACAATGTCAAACATATGTCATATGTTTAACCTGAAAATTGGGACTCCAAAATTGTCAGAAGAAGGCGGTAGGTGTCGCGTCAGTCATGCACGGAGCGAATACTAGGTTCGGTGGTCAGATTTTAATAACCTACAGAAAAGGGTTACAGGTAGATTCGCTCCGGCCATATATTTCTTAGAAAAGATAGTTTAAAAATGCCTTTAAAAGGTACGCAATTAATAATCATGCATAGCCAGGTTCAGCATAAATAGAAAATGTTGTCTTCATAAAGCAGATACTTTGATACATTTTATTAATTTTATGAATAAAATATTTAAATTTCTCAAACTTTGTAGTTATCTAAGTATAAAACTACTTCTAACTTAAAATTTTTGAACTATTATCACTAAAGTTTTATGATGTTAGAGCTCATATTCCCTTGTTCAGTATTTAATTTGGTTTTTCTGTGTCAGAAATTGCAAGTGATAAATTTCTTAGAAAATATTGGTAACTAGTATTCGACATGAAATTTTACGTTATGAAATAGGGGTGGTGCGTATCTCAATATTATTAGTTTCTTCTTCTTCTTCTTTAAGTGCCCAATTGTAGGTTGGATATCATCATCACTATCGTTGCTCTATCCACTGCTGCTCTAAAGAGTTCTATAGAATTGCATTTAAACCAGTCCCTTAAATTCTTCAACCATGACACTCTCTTCTTCCTATACTCCTTCCTCCTCTTATCTTTCCCTGTATTATCAGCCTTAGCAGTTCATATCGCTGTCCCCTCATTACGTGTTTCAGATATTGTAACTTTCTTATTTTTATCGTGTTTATTATTTCGCATTCTTTGCCCATTTCTCGCAATACTTTCGTGTTAGTTTTCTTCTGTGTTCATGCTATTCTAAGCATCCTCCTGTAACACCAAATTTTAAAGGACTGTAACTGATTTATCTGTTCTTGCTTCAATGTTCAGCTTTCAAGTCCATATTGCAGTATCGAAAACACGTAGCATCTCAGTGCTCTTACTCTCAGTTCTAATCTAAGGTCTTTGTTGCAGAAAATTGTTTTCATTTTACAAACGAATTTCTTGCTATTTCTATCCTGGATCTTATTTCGGTTGTTTGATCATTATCGTCTGAAATCCAGGTTCCTAGGTATTTGTATATATTAACCCTTTCTATCGGTACACTTCCCAAATGTATGTTTGTTGGTATATTTATTTTCTTTGTTATTATCATATATTAGGTTTTTTTTTAAATTCATTTTTAGTCCATATTTTTCACAGAAACTGTTTGGTTTGTTTAGCAGTAACTGAAGATGTTCAGCAGAGCTTGCCATAATTACGGTGTCATCTGCATATCTTATTTTGTTAATAGTAATACTTTTTTAAAAATGGCTTCACTATATACATTACATAGTAATGGGGACATAATACATCCCTGCCTAACTCCTCTCCTGATTTCAATTTCTGGACTGAGTTCGTTATCTATTACGATTTATGCTCTTTGATTCCAGTAGAGGTTTGTTACAATTTGTAAGTCCATATAGTCTATGTTTTTTGTCCTTAGAATTTGTCCTAATTTTTCAAGTCTTACTTTGTCAACTGCTTTTTCAAAACCAACTTAACAAACATGCACATCAACATTTATATTTATGCATCTTTGAGCTAACTTATTACAAAAAAAAAATCGCTTCTCTGATTCCTAGTCCGTTTCTGAACCCAAAACTGACTGTCATCTATTCCTTCTTCCAGTTTTTTATTTATACGACCATGTATTATTTTCAAGAATAATTTAAAAATGTGACTTATTAGTGATATTTTTCTGTATTCACTGCAATATTTAGCGTTTGTATTTTTAGGGATAGCACAAAAGGTGGAGAATAACCATTGTTTCGGTATGTGCCCTCTTTTGTATACTGAGTTAAATAAGTCTACTATAATGTCTAAGGTTTCATCATTTATGCGTTTTAAGATTTCTATTGGGATTTGGTCTGGACCTATTGCTTTACCATTTTTGCTGTTTTTTAATACCATTTTAATTTCCTCTTTTAATATCTTTACAATCATATCCTCTTCTATTTCTATCTCCACCTGCTACCTGCTCTGTTCTATGGTTTTTGAACAGGTCATTGATGTATTCTGTCCATCTCTTTAATTTGTCGTTAGTATTCAATACAAGTTTCCCATTTGCATCTTTCACTATTCCTCGGGTTTCTTGTTCTATTGTTGTCTATATTGATTTACATCTTTAATTTTTTTATGTGAGTTAAAACTGTAATGTCTTTTCTGGTATTTTTCTATTTCTGCGCATTGTTCTTTTAACCATTGTTATTTATTGTATTGACGTCGTTCTTTCAATAAATCTAAAATTTTTTCCATCATCCATTGCTTCTTATTATATCTGGTTGGTATTAGAATATCTTTTGACCTTTATCTATTTCTGTCTTCATTAATAACCATTTTTTATCTGTCGCAGTATTTTGCAGAATTTGTTCTTAAACATTCATTAATCCGTTGTTGATTTCATCTGCCAGGCGTTGCCTTATGAGTGAGTTCCTTAATTTACTTGTATCGATTTTTGCATTTGTTGTTCTTTGTTTTATTATTTTCATTTTGAGCCTAATTTTGGTCACTACTGGGTTGTGATCTGATCCTATGTCGGCACTTGGATAAATTTTTGCGGATATAATTGCGTTCCTGTATCTTTGTCTAACTAATACGTAGTTTATTTGTAATAAAACAATAGAAAATACAATACACAAAGACAAACAAACACTTTAAAATTTTAAGGAGAAGCTACATGTTGTATAGAAGCCGGAGACAGAATCTGAAGATGATCTATTGATCGAAAGTACTTGGGCAAGATTAAATTAATCACCGTGTTCGATAGTTGCCTTGTATACCCTCAAAGTTTATTGTTTTATTGTTGATTTTTATCTTTCCTGAGTCGGGCCGTTGGACATCGCTGATTCCTAAAATATCTATATTTAGCCTTTCTACTTCTTTAACGGCATTATGTACATTTCTAGCTTGATGTAGACTTCTAACATTCCAAGTCGCTACTTTGCAAGATTTTCGCATGTTGACGACCGGGGAGGCCTTGCAGTCTTGCGAGTTTACTCTTCTGCCGAATCTTGTTTTACGAGTTTCATAATCAGTAGAGTGTTTGGTTATATTGTTAGTCATGATGATTAACTAGGGATGCTCTATGAGCCTTTAATGCATTGGTTTCCCGTTGTCTTATGCATCTCCACGCCGTTGACCATCTCTGGTTCGTCCGCCTTTAGAAATGATTTTCCATTTCTAGTACAAGAAGATGCCCTTCCACTTACCGACTCTTCCACCCGAAGCTGTTGGTCAGTAAGTATGGGATTGCTTATACCGGCAATCATAATCATACAATTATTACTTTAGTTACGGTTTGAATGTCTAGTCCATCATAAAGAAATTTGAAATGAGTGAAGTGTTAAGCGAAAAGGATAAGTCTATGCTAGTTATTGACAATTACAAGTATAACTTCCATAAACTGCTTGCTAATAATATCAAACGTTGGCATTGTGTAGAAAGAAGTTGCAAACCATTTGTTAGAACTTTAAATATTTATAACAGTGTTGTTGAATGTAGTGATAACCACTACCATGGAAGTTTATCAAAACATTGTTAAACCGGCAAAGAGTAATTAATGGTGTTAAGTGGAAGCTTCAACTTAGTTCTGGAGCACATAATCAGAAGTGCAAGAATCAAAAAACCCAATACAATATTTCATCGAGAAGGACCAAACTTACTACTGGCATTTTCAGCCGATATCGATCTAATAGGAAACACACGATTAAGGATGAAGAAGACTTTCGTGAGGTTCGAGAAGATAGCAGAGAAGATGGGGCTCAAATCAACGAAAACAAGACGAAATATATGTATATAAGTCGCAATAACCAAAGCAGAGACAGAATCGGTCAGAACATCACTATCGATGACTTTAATTTTAAGCGCGTTAGAGAATTCAAGTGTCTTGGAACAACAATAACTGAAAACAATAATGGATCACAAGAAATAAACAACAGGATTCAGGCCGGCAACATATGTCTTTTTGCACTCCAGAACCATATAAAATCGATACAACTAACACGACGTAAGAAGATGCAGGTCTATAAAACAATCATATGAACCGTTGTGATGTAACGTGGATGATAACAAAGGCAAACGAAAAAAGACTATGTGTTTGGAAAAGAAAAATCCTACGGA